CGCTTGGGGCAACTGCTTCCCGTGCCGCTTGTACTTCGGCGTACGCGCAGAATGAAGCTCAGCAAAGACATTGGCCAGGCAGGCCGGCACACGGCCAGCCATCGGGGGATATGAAGGCTCAGCTATGCTCAGCTCTTGTGTTGTTGCATTGGGCTTCTGTTCAGGGTTACACCCACACACCCCGCGCACCGAAGTAGCTCCCGCACTGCCTTCCCTGCACCGAAGTGACTGCATGTGACAGCCATGGCTGCTCGCTTGTGGACTTTCCTGCCCTGGGGTGCAGAACAAACGTCGTTGCATGGGGGCGACTGAAAGAATCGTCAAAGGCTCACTGTGGTTGCAGCTGATTCCAGACGGGCGTAAGCTGTAAACTTCTTCTATTTTACTACTCGTTCTTACGACAATAAATCATCAAGTGCTCACTGTGGCTGCGGCTGCCAACCGGTGCGACAAGGAAGCGAGCCAATGCTCACTGGGGCTGGGGCTGGGGCTGGGGCATGCTGTAGCTTATTCCAAGGCGTAAGCTTTGAGTTTCTTCCGCCCGTACGACAAGGCAGTCATCATGTGCTCACTGGCGCAGCGGCTGTTTCCAGAGGCATAAGCTGTGGGCTGCCTCGCTTCTACTCGTACCTCCAAGTGCTTCCTGTGGTTACAGTTGACTCCAGCAGGGTCCAGCAGGGCATGACCGTTCACTTGCTCGTACCTGTACGACACGAAGTCATCCGTGCTCACGGTAGCGGCAGCTGAGTCCAAACGACAAGGAAGTCATCAAGTGCTCACGTGGTTGCAGATGCCTCCAGAAAAGTGTACGCTTCGAGTTGTTCCTGCGCGTATAACAGGTCATCAAGGGCTCGCTGTGGCCGCTTCGGAATCCAGAAAGACGTAATTTTCTATTTGTTTGTACCCGTACGACAAGGAAGTCGTCAAGTGCTCACTGGGGCTGCAGCTGGTGCGCGCCGAAGCGTGCGCTACCGGTGGCTTGCTTTTGTGCTGCTGCTGCTGCTGCTGCTGCTGCTGCTGCTGTCGCCGACGAGCTTCTCTCGCGCAGGGCACGTAATCATTCGCACTGGCCGGCGATTGTAGAGTCAGGTCACTTGGCACTTGCCAATTTGCACAAGCTTTTGCTAGCTAGGTTACTGAGGCAGAGTTGGCTGGTGGTTTACCTCGCAAAGTGGGCAGGGCGAGAGGGAAAAAATCCCGCGCAAGGTGACACGCTTGCCGATGAGCTTGTTGCATCCCAATGAAAGCCGCATCTGGTGCCTGCCTGCAGTCCTGCTTGTTTATGCTCTTGATCCCAGCCGAGTTCAGAGCATGCAGCGGCGGGGTTGCACATCAAGTTGTTGGATTCGTGATGCTTCCTGTCCATGCGGCCAGCATGGACATGTACTCCAACTGCAAATGTTCGTGCAACCTAAAACCGAGGTGCTTTAATTCGTATCAACTGACAAATTTCAAGTGACAGCTTTTCTATTGTAATTTTCGTGCAAGTGCACATTGCGCGAGACTCCTGTGTGGTTGTTTCGGTCAAGCGATTTTAATTTCTTGCATTCCCTCCGACGTTTAAAGTGAATACAAAAGCCACAGGGAGGTGCATGCCATGCAAGGTATCTTTTTGGGAGTTGTGTAGTGCAGCATGGGTCCGGATCCGTATTCTCATTTTTTGAGAACGTCTCCAGCACTGTGTTCTCCAATGGTCCCTCCCGAACGATCGTTTTATTCGGACGTAAGATACCCAAAAGACTTTCGCCGCAATCTTTGGCAGAAAAAACAACGGCGTTTGCCTGCAACATTTTGCAGCCACCTCGATGGGAACCCGCTGCAATGAGTCGTCAGGCAATAATTTCGGACACGGTTTTTGACACGCAGCAACGAACAATGACGAGCTAGTTATTATACGGCAATTCATCATATTTTACAAGGTCGTGTTTGCTGCGTTCGCTGTCCGGCTTCCAAACGACGGCTCCGGAGCTGCTCCGTTTCGCACAGTTCCTTTACGGCCAGCCCTCCACGTATTGTTGGTGGGACGCTGCCGGGCTATGCCGGATCATCTGACAAGGCGATGGCTGCGAGCGGGCAGACCCGCTGGCTGTATGCTGTCGGACAGTTTGGAACTACTTGGTTTTTTTCCGTGAAACCGCTGAGTCCGGGCACGAGCGCTCGCGACGCTGACACTGTGTCCGACATCGTCCAAGAATGTCCAACGGGAACGCGGCATCGCGTCCAACTTTGGCACCACGCGAGCGTACTGCTGTGCTTGCCCCCACCGGGATCGACACACTCGGCGCAGATGTGGAAGCGAACAAGCCTTCCGCTGCGCGAGGGCTTGTTGCGCGGCACCCAAATCCAGTTGCATCGTGGGCGGAACAGCAAATGCAGACCGAATGGTAGCTGTTGCACCAGCTGCCTCGTTGCCGGATTTGCAGTGCGCTCGGCTCCTCCTCGCACACGATGATGCGATCTGGGCGACGTCGCATCTTTGCCTCGGCGGCATTCCCCAAACGACGTTCAAGGCGACGGCGCGAGAAACTTGTCAACTCTTCGTCGGCTTGTCCTCCGCAATTTCCCTCGCTACACGACACCGCCGGCCGCCGACTGGGCCGCTTCAGACGACTTCGGGGAACTAGCGTCACCAAAGCGTCATACCTTACATCAGAACACTCGGTTTGTTAGAAAAAACACCGCTTGGCTTTCGCCGATATTTGCGCGCGTCACGTCACCATGGGCAGGGATCCTGCGCCTGGTCCCACAGGAGCGGGGGAGGCACTCGAGCTGTGCCCAACGGCTGAGTCGGCATAGAACAACGAGATTGTGCGTCTTCGAGCATATTTGCGCAGGCATGTGGTTGTAGACATGTGTCTGTTTGTATGTCCATGTGTTTGTCTGTCTGAACGAATGTTTGCATCCATGTATGTATGCATGCATTCATGTGTTTATAATATGAATTGCCATATGAAAGTAGAGCCTTGCGATGTTGGCTTGCCGCCAAAATATGGAATAGTGTAATAAGGGCTCGCGGTGCGAAGCTGGGGGCTTCATGTCAGACCAACCTGAACACCTTGCGACCACGCATCGGGAGTCCGGGCTCAGGGTGTGTGAGGCTGTCGATAGCACCACCGCGGATGCTGTAAGCCTGACCTCAACCCAGAACTACCTTGTTTTGTCTGAGTTGTGCGCAGACTCACCCCAATAAGCAAGTGCAGGCGGTTGACACCGAGGGCAGTTGGTGATAGTACGCTGCCGATGGCTCGATATTTGATGGAGATTAAGTTTGGCATCAAAGACGGGTTGGACACTGCTCTCAGAGAAAACTATGATCTCAGTCATGTGTCAGATTGTATCGTTTGTTCAGGAGATTTCGGTTTTCCGCATTTACCGTGATGCTGGGAAGGACTTCCTGGGAGGGTGTCAGAGGGTTGTGGAGCAGTGTTGCGTTTGGCCCACGATGGGTGCACCATGCTGCTACAGAATGAGGCGCCTTGCGCCTTGTTTGCCACACTTACGACACGCCACGACTGACAAGTGGAGACTATGTTTCGGACCAACGGGTTCTTGCAATGTTCACACCGACCCGAGGTGTTTAAACGATGAACACGTGTTGCAAGGTTTGTTGGGAGATTTCGTAACAACCAAATTCAAAGTTTCGCGCAAACGAAATTCCCATCCACACGGTCCACAAGTTCGAAAAAATCCAAAGAACAACAGCACATCCGCCTTGTCAACTCGACGTTAAATACGTGTGGAATCTTGGTTCGAACGCTCTCGTGTACCTTTGGTTTTTCATGCGCAAACCTTGACCATGCAGCCTTCATCGAACGTACTTCGTGTTTCAACGCAGTCACGCAACAACGAGTTTTTCTAAACAGCTGCCCCCCGCGCCCTCAGTGTGTTGCCGCCTTTGTGACACCGTGGAGTTTGGGTTCTTCCCCATCGCTGCTGCACGCTCCGTCGCTGCCAGCCCACGGTCAATTCCCATTGGGTCCCATGTCCAACACCGACAATCTTGATGGCGAAGCTATTTACTCTTTTCAGTGATGTCCACGCTGACTCCCCGAAACACTTCTACGCACTTCCTGTATGAGGTTCATTTTTTTCCACATGCGCTTTTCTGCAACCATCCACGCTGTCCCAGTGCAACACATGCTCCGGCGGTGCAGAGCCCACATGCGCGCCACGCAAGGCGGGAGGCAAGGGGAGCTCCCGCGCCCCGTGCCATGTAGTCTGTTTGCACAAGGGCCTGGACTCCTTTCGCGCATCGCAAACAGATTGGAAAAATGAAAGCCTAGAGGGCCTAGGTCACCTAGGTCAAGGTTGCGCGGGTCGGCTGCCCAAACATGCAGCGAAGGAGGTTGGGTGTAGACAAAACACCCAAAAACAAAGATTGGTGGCGAGGCCGGGGGTAACAATTACCAATGTCGGCCAATCTCGCAATCGCATCGTAAGCAGCATCAGCTTGGTCTGGGAACGGCAAGTTGTAAGTGGAACGCAGCCGTCGTGTAAATGGGGGCAAATTGAAGGCTTTATATACGCCGGTAGCACTGCCAGACCATGCAAGCACGACGGACAGGCCCAGGAAGCTGGCGTGGACTTGATTGAGATTGTGGGATACGAAGGCACATTACCAGATGTGTTAGCAGCACGGAGATGGAAGGGGATTCTGTCGAAGCGAGAGCATCCGTCCATGCAATTGTCGTCGGTTGACCCCATGCGACTTCCAGGGTCGATTGCCGGTGGTCAACCAGGGGACGAGGTGGGCTGCATGAGCGGCTTGCATTGCCATATGTTCAAAGTGTTTGGAGGGCTGTTTTGCCAAGCGAATGGAAGCAAAACTGCTGGAAGCTGCGATGTCACCGCAGACAGAAGACCGTCGTATCGATGAGGGATAGGCGCGACAGCATCGCATGTGTCAGGTTGGTGCATGGGTGCTGTTGGCCAAGGCACATTTCGGCAGTTGTTCTGATATATTTGATGTATTTTCATTTCCCACATGCGAGGCCACGTCGATGTTGAAAGTGCCGGTAATCGCAGCTGGCGCATCAGGCAGTCTGTGCGAAACAGCTTGCCCATGCAGCCATGCGAAGTTAGTCTGCTGCACCGCATGCTGTCGGGCAACCGCAAAGGCACTGGAAGGCAGTTGGCGGCTGCTTTAGCTATGGGGGCCATGGGCCAAGCCAACATACGTTGAATGTTCAATGGCGCAACGGGTGGTTGCGGTTACTTGTCAGTCCTGATGCTTGGGTGGTGCATACTTTGCAAGGCTCATGGCATCACGATGGCCACAAGGTTCCTGTGCACGGTCGAGGCCAACGCGCCAACAAACCCAGGTTCATGAGTTATAGCACGTTCCTTGTTCGAGACAGGCTCCGATCGACCAGAAAGTGAAGGACCCGTGCTGTGCATGACTCGCTCTTTGAGTGTTTCCTACAGCCGCGGGTTGCGTTTGCAAGCCAGGAGACGTTGATGAACCCAGACATGGACGAGAGGCTCATTCATTCCATGCCACCTTGTTGAATTGTCTACTGTCTACCTGCTTTGCCTGATGGCTGGTTTGCGTGCTCGAGAGGAGTACTACGATCGTTTTGGGAACACTGAGCAATGCTACGCGGGTCTTCAAGAACGGCGTGTCGAAGAAGATTCGCGAGATCGAAAGTCAAGGTGCCAAGTGCAGGGCGCATGTCATGCCACTTTGCTGTGTCTCGATGTACCTTATACTCCCTAAACCCAAGTTCCCGGAACCCAAAGCCTTGGTATCATCCATCCCAAAACTCCCTAAACCCAAGTTCCCGGAACCCAAAACCCTACACATTATCATCCATTATCGGTATGGGAGTTTTCGAAAATGGGGGATAAATAGTGAGATCCTTATAATAATAAGGACCCCGAAATATGGTATCCCCAATTTTCGGAAACTTCCATATCAGCCCTCGTGGTTGCGCCCAGCGAGGCGATGTGGATTTTAGCCAAGTCATGCCCCTCGCGAGTGGCAGCCGAACTAAGAAAATGCCTTCGCCTGAGTCTTTGAGAAGAGCCATGATCAAAAGATGGAGTTGTGGCCATAGGGTTCAGGACTATGCTGCTAGATAGCGTCAATCTTAACAGCATTCGCCTGAGTCTTTGAGAATCGAGTTCTGGTCATAGTGTTCAGGACCATGTTGCTAGTCTGTTCCTTGATGCCGTCAGTTTTAGCAGAATTGGCCAACGCGCAGTAAAGTCAAATCAGCTACCATAACTTCCCAAGGTGGCAAGAAACCGGCGACACGGAAGATGCCATGTGGAGTTGTTCCCAAAGCATCGGTCTCATCAGCAACAGGCCCAGCTATGCGAAGTTCAGATTGCACAGAGTTTCATGTTCGGCTGGCTTTTTTCATGTTTGGAGTAACAGGCATGCACACTACCCGCATCACCAAGGCGACATTCCAACGTGCAAAGATCTGCTCCAGCCGGCGCCCCATACACGTTTCCTGTTGGGGTGCAGGGCTTCGCGCAAAGAAGAAGCTGACAGCACCGACTAGACCCTGTAGACCCGTTCCTGCCAAACGCGGCCTGAAACTTCAGTCCCCTAAAAAAACTCTTGTGTCGTATAGTATTGGGCAGTGCAGCAAGAACCCGCTTCTCCGCGCATAGCGCTGTTAAGCAGCATGTTGCCGCAGATGGCCACCTCAGGCGGATCGTGGCAGAAGCTGAAGATCGCTTGTCCGTGGGAATGAGGTGGGAGGTCGTTGAAGTACGGGTCTCATGCCGAGTGTACTGAAGCGGGAACCGACCTTGAAAAACCTATAGCTTTGTGAGTTGTGAAGACGCCCAGACGCCTTGAGAGCAGAAAACGCTATGCAAAGCCTCGTGGACTCGTGGAACACCCCAAAGCTGAGCCAAACAGGTGCGTCGTGGCCTCCAAGCTTTGAGATGGCTTTACACCGACAGTTTCTCCTGGCAGCCAAGGACATGTCAAGGTTTAGGGAAGCTTTGGGTCGCGTTTGGCGCCCGGGGCAGATGACGGCTTCGAGGCAAATGCCTCACTTGCAAGACCTCACCTCCGTCATGGTGATGGTGTCATGCGGCCGTGTCGGTCCTTGTGTGGAGGGTTGCTGCATACAAGGAGTGAAAAAAGATCAGAACGGCGTTTGCTGTCGCTTGCGAGGAGGTTGCCCATGCAGAGGGATTTCCCCAGAGGGCTCTGCCGGGAAGGCTTTTGAAAGGGTTCAGCATGTGCATGTTAGGCCTGTGCATTAGATCGTTCCGGCTTCGCATGTGCCCATGCAAAGGACGCTGTCAAGCAAGACGCTGTCGTGTGATGCTTGGAATGGTGACCTTCGTGTGATGCCTGTGCATTGGCTTCATGCTGGAGGTATACGACACGAAGTAGCTATGAAGTCATCTCATGCCCAGCTCGTGCGGTGCAAGTTCAGAGCAAGGTCACGGCAAACAAAGCAGCGACAAGACCCTACATGGGAATGATAAAATGAGTTCGGGCTCGCAGGGTTTCGTGAACCCAAAAATCCCAACGCCAACATTTTGCAGTGGTAGCAGCCTGGCTGCTGCCCTGAAGCATAAGACACGGCATATGAAGGGAAACAAGTTCGGCAAGCCGTGTTCGCCGTGTTCAGTTCACCGAGCCAACATGGGAACGTTATGCTGATGCATCGCACCAAGCTGCCCTTGAAGCTGCGATGCCCGTGCCCGAGTTGCTATGCCATCTTGCGACGAAGCCAGCATGCATCCGGTCACGTATTTTCACATGATAAAATCCATGCTGAGGCCGGCGTCACCCCGCAGTCCCAGGGGCGGTCGAAGCCCGAGAGGAGGCGCCAGCCCTCGGGGAGGCCGCAGCCCTCGCGGTGGGCGAAGCCCCCGGGGCGGCGGAAGCCCTCGGGGCGGAAGCCCTCGCAGCCCGCGGGGTTCCGATGTGTCGGGCTCCCGGAAATCCTTAATAGTTGGAATAGGGTTTTGGGGCCCATAATACTATAACCATAGTAAGGATCTCCCAAAATAGTATAAGTACTTTTTCGGGCTCTCGGACACGGGCTTTGCATACGCCTTCTTCTCATGCGACCTTGATTCGACTCAGGGATGAAGACGAAAGCAACTACGATGACAACAGCTCCGGCCTTGGCGATCTTGCAGGTTGGAAGGCAGTTTGAGGTTTGTTCTGCAAAAAGAGATGGGAAGCCTTGGGATCGGATTTTGATGGCTCTTGTTACAGGATTGCGACGGGACGCGACACACAGACACACACAGAGACACACACACACACAACACACACACACACACACAACACACACACAACACACACACACACACACACAACACACACACACACAACACACACACACAGACACAACACACACACACAACACACACACACACACACAACACACACAACACACACACACACACAACACACACACACAACACACACACACACAACACACGCACACAACACACACACACAACACACACACAGACACAACACACACACAACACACACAACACACACACACACACAACACACACGCACACACACACACACACAACACACACACACACACACACTCTGTGGGATATAGGTATATATATATATATACACATACTTTTAACACATGGACAATCTGTTTGTTGACCTGCAAACGGTAAGTCTAGACTTATTCAGACAGCGCCGCCGAGGTGACGAAGGCTCCAGGAGTCCCCGGAGCCCACGCCGGGCGACCTAAACTTGAAGCGCTGTTGAGGCTTTAGGGTTTGGTGTTTAGTGCTTTGCAAGGGTTTAGGTGTTTGCTTCAAGGGCTCCGCGAGGGTTTTATCTTCAAGGGTTCCTCGAAGGGTTCTACTTGGTTAATGTTTTTCGGAGCTTGAGGGCACAGCATCCAGGATTTAGTATTCCAGGCTCACTTGGACTTCAGGGCTAAAGCAACAAAAAATTGGCGTCCTACCATTATTTGGGGGAAGATGTGGCCTCGCACAGTTGGATCTCAAGCTTTCTTTAAGCCGCGTCTCTACAAGCTTGAGAGCCTGAGGTGGCGGGGCAGCGAAAGAGGAGGTTGGGACATGGCCGTTTTCGATCATAGAGCATACGAGCAAATTAAAAAATGATTAGTCAAATAAGATAGGTTGCGACAATAAAGTGTTACAGTAAGTGTGCAGGTGCATGCACAGATGTCTCTCTACATCCATTGACACTTTCATGTGCATGGGCACCTCCCCCATCCATCCATCCCTCCGTCCGTCCGTCCACAAATGCATGCATGCATGCATGCATACACACACATGCATACTAAAACACAAGAAAGCAAACACACGGGTATAATATACGTATGTACGTATGTATGTATGTATATCTGCACGCACTCGCAGCCTCGGCAGAGCAACAAGCAAGGAAATATGTATGTAGGTAGGTACAGTAGGTCGGCAGGTGGGAGGTATGTGTTTCTATATATACATACACATCATATCATACCATTTGACAAGTTTAAATGCATATATAGCTGCATACATACATACATACATGCATACGTACATACATCCATTTGTGCACGTGTGGGAGTTGGCTGCCAGGACATGTGACTTTCCGGCTTTTACTGTCGTGTTTCAGCTGGCATGCAGGGTTCAGGCTCGGGCAGCAGCTTACAATCTCTTGTTCTAAGGGCAGCAGCTTTGTCTTGCGGGGTTTCGCATGGAGTATTTTGAGGTTCGGAAGGTGGCCTGATTCCCAAACACCCCGAGCCCCGAGTGTCTTGTGGGGTTTGAAGTGCATTTTGAGTGTTTATCTCTGGCTTAGTTAAGGCTTAGTTAATGGAAAATAAGTAAATCCTAAACCCTTGAAATAGATGCCCACCCCCTTCCGGTTTAAGGGCCAGGAATGATAAGCAGACCTAGTGTTTGGTACTTAAGCAGGGATTTTTGGTACATGGCGGTCCCAAAGATCCTGTTGGCCGGGCTGTTCACTGCATCCATCCAGACCGCTCTTGCCGGAAGCCTTGGCTAAGCCAGGTTAGGGTGGACTTTCTAGGGAGAACAACACTTAAAGTCGCAGTTCCAACCTTCAACAAGGCTGAATAAGTATGATTCATGAAGCAATCCTTGACCTCAGAATCCCCGCTAACATCCCGCACACAACAGACCAGCGTTCCCGTGAAGCCCTTAATCGCATGTTCGCTCAGCGGCACAGGTGACTCCCGGGAGGCCGGTTCGACTCGCGTAGGAAAATGATGAAAATGCTTTTTGGCTTGGAGTCTGCATGCTCGCAGTGCGTAGTCCGTGGGGTTTTCGGCGGGTGTTAGGATTCGATGATTACGGCTGCAGGGACGAGGGTTCAGTATTGAGGCGTCAGGGTTCAAGCTGCAGGTCAGTATAGTTTAGTCAGACATCAATACTATGTATTTGCGGGGTCGTGATGGCGTGATTGTGTTGACATTCGCAAGGGTGGGGTTGTTCTGGATTGCGAACGAGACTTCTAGTCTAAACATAACAGTGCCAGAAAAAGCAAACGACGGCACCAGACAGCCTGTTGGTTTTCTGGTGTTCCGTATTTGTCTACAGCGCCCTGGGTGCGGTGTTTTGGGGGTGCTTCTCATCAGAAGGATCTTCCTTTGTGGGATCTAGTTGGGGGTCCATATCATTATCAGCACTCCCATAATGATCCGATGCCTGCATCAGTTGATTGATCATTCCTGCGTTTGCAGAAAAAAACATGCCTACAATGCGGCCTAGCACCTCCAACCGAAATCAAAAAAAATCAGGCCAAAACAATTAAACCTCTACTCTGAATTCCAAGCCCCAACCCCAGAAAACGACAAATCCTGATCCGTTGGCCCTTTACCCGAAACCGTAAGGACCCAAACCCCAGAACCTAAACCCAAAATCCCGAGCGCTAATAATCCTAAACCTAAACCGTTACAATGTCAACCACCAGGGCAGCCAAAGAGCCGCTACGGCAAAAGCTTCGAAGGCCTGTAGTAGGGGTTCAGGGTTCTGGGCTTAGGGTCTAGGGTTTTGGGCTTCGGGTTGAGAGTTCTGTGGCTTTTGGCTTAGTGTCTTGGGGTCTGGGGTTTTGGGCTTAGGGTTAGGGTTCTGGAGTTATGGTTCAGGGTTCGGGGCTTAGGGTTCAGGCGGTTCAGGGTTCTGGGCTTAGGGTTGAGGGTTCTGGTGCGGCCCCAGCTGCAAAGCCTGCACCATCACGCTGAGCCGGTTGGGCGGCTCGGCCCAGGTGTTTGGGTGCACATGCACCGCCCTGTTGCCCTTCGACTCCCCCATAAGAAGACTTGAAGGGCATTCAATTGGACATGCAAACTGTTTCGATGTTCATCTGTTTACATGTTTGAGCCTAGTGGACCTATTCCTTCTCAGAGTTGAGTGCACCTGTGGAACCTTCTGCAGCCCATCAGCTACAACATAACAGCAGAAGAACCCTGGTAGAAGCCCCTCACGCTGACAGGTGCCTGGGGGCTTGCTGCAGCAGGCCTCCGACGGGAGAGCTTGCAAGGACATGTTTTCTGTAGGTCTGTAGGTGGTTGTTGCCATCCGGTCCAGAATAAGTTTAAAACTCAAAATATACACCCACCCATGAACAAAAGGAGCCCCCTATACACTCACACTAAAACCGCAGCGCGAAAGTAAATGAAACAATGTGCACAGCTGTTGACACCGGCCATCCTAAATCCGAAGACCGACATCTCGGGCCCTTAGCTCTGGATACCCTGCATCCCGAGTGTATAAGGCTCTAAGGTACGGTATAAGAGGTGAGGGATATCACTTGAGTGGGCTGCAAGGGCATGTAGGTACTCTCTACTCTAAATCCGAATGCTAGGCAGGCACAAGTGTAAGAGTTTGATGTCACAGTCGAGACCAGCTCAAAGCCGGAAACCCCATACCCTTCGCCCCATGAAGCCCCAAGTACACCCTAAACCCTGAGCCCTTTAGCTTCTCAACCACAACAGACTTCTTTCGAGAGGTTGCGGAAACTCTGCAGATGTCCAAAGTTTCGCTGCTGTGCCGCGGGCTCAGCCAATACATTGAGTTCTTCATGTAAGATATGCATTACAAACTGCTGTCAACAGATACTTCACCGTATACTCCCTCTTATTGCCCTTAAGATTCGGCCACAAGAAGTCGTTAATCAAGACTCGGCCAACACCGGGAAAAGGCCTAGGCTCACCCGACGTCTTGTTTAGGGCTTAGCGTCTTGTCAGCGTTTAGTCTTTCAAGCCCCGAGTGCTCAAGCAATTTCTAGAGGTTTTAGATCCCAAATCCTTCTAGGCATCAAAGCCAGGGCTTCGACATCGGCGACCGGTGGCATATCAGGGCCCAGGCATGCATGATTGATCACCAACTTCCAATGCCTCGGCCGAATATTAACTATCTGGTCATGTTGGGCAAGCACCGACAACAACAAGGCTTAGGTCGAAGGAGGGTTCAGAAAAGAAGGAGCCCTGAGACTACAGCTAGGCGGGACCATTGCAGCCAGCCACCGAATATCCTGAAAAGACCACATGATCGCCAGCGAAACAGTGAAGTTAGGTTCTAGCTCATGCAGAACGAGCATCAGCTCATGACCACTTGGTCACAGCCACATGCAAGGTCTACACGATGCCATGCTGCTACTGCTTCATCCCCGACCAGATGATCCGGAAGTCAGCGGCCCGGATCTTCAAAACTATCTCCATGAGCAGGGCTTTGGACCTCTAAACCGCACATGACATGAAAACAAGCTATTGAAGTCTGCACTACAGTAGGGGTATGACTTTCAAAATTGTGGGTTCTGTTCCGGGCCTCTCCTTCTTGCATAGGGTTCAGGATGTAGGGTCGCTTTTGTCTTCAACATGTTTCATTATGCCATAGCTTTCTCTGGAGAAAGCAGCCAGTCGTTGCTGCTGAGGGCCGTCATCATGACTAATTTTACTGGGACAACTACTTACTTCAGGCTAGTCCTGGTAACGGTGCTTCTTCAGACAACTACAAGCACCAATGCGCTCTTTCAAAAGAAGTGCCTCGTTGCTCTCTCCATAGATAGATAAGTCTCTCAGTCTTTGGCTTTCTGCTTCCGGATTTAGGGATGCGAACTCTCTTTGAGGTGCAGGGCATAACTCATCAAGCTTTGTGAAAAGGACCCTTTATGAACCCAACTAGGCCCTGGTTCTAGGGAGCTCCTAAGGATCCTTGAGCTTGGCTTCCCACCACCCGACCTCCACCAAATGTCGCAGGGAGGTGCTCATCGCACGGCTGCGTAGCGCCGGCACAGGGAAGCAAGTCAGCATGGCCCTTGTCGAGGAGCTTGTTGCGATGCAAAAACACATTTTTATCTTCATGAACATTAGAGTGTAGGGTTTAGGTCCTCCTTTTGAGTTCCGGAGGTTTCGAGGGTTCGTCTCTGCTTGGACACGTTCTGGGCAGAGGGAGCTTTCGAGCGAGGCAAGCCCGCTGCAAAGGTCATCACCATTACGCCATCATGGTTATCATCGTAGTAGTAGTAGTAGAAGTAGTCGTCGTCGCCGTGGTCGGCCACAGCTGGTAGTACTATCCTCGCAGCTGGGTTGAAGATAGATCCTGCAGCAGGTGCCTAAGTGTCCAAACCATGTTTATTGCAGGCACGACTCGGCTTAAGAAAGCTTGGCATGTACTCCCTCAGCATGGCACGCAGTGGGTTCTTGCTTATGTGGTGTGCCCTTGCAGCTCTACTGTCGGTCAGTGTGAAACCATGCAGGTGTTGGATCCCTCATTGGAGCTCATGCCTTTCGAACAGAGCATGTTGCCTCACAGGGCAGAAGTTGGTGCCAACACGAAAGCCACTTTCTGTCGGGAGGCAGGCAGTCGAAAGCAGGGAACCGTCCTTTGGAAAGTTTCGGTGGAGAAGCGAAGGTGGAATGCATCACGCCTTGAATATACTGAAGGAGCACTACGACGAGCAGTACGATGCGAGGAAGATGACTTGGGCTTGGTGGAGAGAGAACATTAAGGGTCAGGCTTCGACAATTGATGTGACCTGCAAGATATGTGGCCATCGTTCGAAGAGGACCACATTGAATAGTATAAAAAGTGGGAGGGCGCCTGGATGTTTCTGCAACGGAGGCGTTCCCTGGTCGAGTCGGGAAGGGCATGAACGTTGCCTGTTGATGCTGAAAGAGCGCTACGGCGAGCAGTACGATGCTAGCCAGATGACTTGGGCTTGGTGGAGAGAGAATATTAAGGGTCAGGCTTCGACCATCGTTGTGGCCTGCAAGACATGTGGCCATCTTTCGAAAAGGACCACATTGAATAGTCTAAAAGGCGGGAGTGCACCTGGATGTTTCTGCAACGGAGGCGTTCCCTGGTCGAGTCGGGAAGGGCATGAACGTTGCCTGTTGATGCTGAAGGAGAACTATGGCGAGCAGTACGATGCGAGCCAGATGACTTGGGCTTGGTGGAGAGAGAACATTAAGGGTCAGGCTTCGACAATCGATGTGACCTGCCAGACATGTGGGCATCGTTCGAAGAGCACCATCTTGAACAGTCTACGAGCTGGCCAAGCACCTGGATGTTTCTGCAACGGAGGCGTTCCCTGGTCAAGTCGGGAAGGGCATCAACGTTGTTTGTTGATGCTGCAGGAGCGCTATCGCGAGCAGTACGATGCGGACGAGATGACGTGGGATTGGTGGAGAGAGAACATTAATGATCGGGATTCAACAATCGGTGTGACTTGCAGGAAATGTGGGCATCCTTCGAAGAGCACCAGCTTGCACAATCTAAAAGCTGGCCAGGCACCTGGATGTTTCTGCAACGGAGGCGTTGCTTGGTCTAGTCGGGAGGGGCATGAACGTTGCCTGTTGATGCTGAAGGAGAACTATGCCGAGCAGTACGATGCGAGCCAGATGACTTGGGCTTGGTGGAGAGAGAACATTAAGGGTCAGGCTTCGACAATCGATGTGATCTGCCAGACATGTGGGCATCGTTCCAAAGGCACTTCATTGAGCAGTCTGCAACAAGGCAACTCACCTGGATGTCTCTGCAACAAAAAAACGGAAGCGAAGCTGGGACGGTGGTTGGTCCGGGAATACCCGGATTCGATCATTACCTCGCAGCTGCAGGGGTGTACGAATCCAGATACTGGACGGTCCCTGCCGTTCGATTTTGGCTTGTACCACGATTCCATTTTGATTGAGCTGGATGGTGGCATTGGCCACTTCGGCCGCGGGTTTAGAGGTGATCCCGACGATCGGGGAGTGCCGCAGAGAGACCTTCACAAGGAGTATTGGGCGATGCGACAAGGCAAAGTTGTAGTGCGATTGCTGCAGACAGATGTGTACCTAGATTCTTGGCCCTGGGGAGATTTTCTAACGTCTGCGATCCAACATGCAACTGGCTTAACCCAGCCCTGTGTACTCACGCAAGATGCAGTGGAGTACAAGAGCGGCATCTATCGCAAGCTGCGCAGCGACTTGAACTGCAAGGAAAGCAAGTTCCTTCCGAGCCGCATCCCTTACCTGAAGTATGGACCTGTCACAGCTCAGGGCTCAGGGACAAAGATACCTGGAGCTCGAAGCCTGAGCCGCCTTGATGCTTCGAGGGAAACGGGGATCAGGTCATTTAGGGTTTGGGGTTTACGGGAAAAAAGGGTTTAGTGTCGCGCTACGCGAACATCTCTTCAAGGTTCCTTGGAGTATGCGACAGTGACTGTTTGCCCTGATCCAACTTCATGTATGGATTTGGCCTGCGCTCACTCATGTCGTGACAGCCCGAAATTGTAATAGCCGAGCTGGACACTCAGGACGCAGCAAGTTATCAGCAACGTATGTGTTGTGGGGGCCGGAATGACTACTGGGTAAAAGGGCCTACCCTCTTTCGGAAACTTTCGCTCCTTATCAACTTATGCCACAAGTTCTTCTCATAAGTTGGGCCCCTGGGCATTTTTCGGGCCAGCGCTGCCCGTATTCACCGAACCAAATGAAGGGACCCCGAAACCTGGAAGCTGACCAACCTTGTCGGAAAGCCCACAGAGATTGATATAACTAACGCCCTCTCTACGGCATATACATATATATCTATATATATATATATATACATATATATATATATATCAATATATTGATATGTAGTTCATCATACATATACACATATTATAATACTGTATGTGTAATATATATATATATATATATACACACACACATGCTTCAAGCGAACTAACCCCTTTTCCCCATGTATTAAACACCCACACCCTCGAATAATGTAAACACTTTGGGGCCAATCATCCCGAAATCATCCCTGCCTGAATTTGCATTAGGACGGTCCGGAGCAACAGCAGGAGTAAGAGCAAGAGCAAAAGCAAGAGCAAGACTAAGAGCAAAAACAGGAGGAAGAGCAGGAGCAAGAGCAGGCGCAGGAGCGAGAGCAACAGACATAGCAAGAGCAGGAGCAAAAGCCCGCGCAATAGCAAGAGCAAGAGCCCTCAAAAGCGACAATAGAGACAGCAATACCCCCTGATAATAACAACACTTTCAGAGTTTTTATTGGGGGGGACTCCCCAGTTTGATATGTTATCAGGGGGACGGGAAGGGGTTGTGGCTCCAGAGTCAGAGCACTATACGATTGTTACTACTGCGCTAAATATAGAGGTCGAAATAGTTGCCAACTGTATCCTCGTAAAGTCCCTGGTATAAAAAGATTTAGTATCAGCCTACTCTAATCATGAAGGCCCCCATATTACGCACCGTTTTACTGGGCTCTCTGGCAGGAGACATTGACGGCAGATCGAGAGAGGATGGCAGCTTTCAAGAAGAAGTGGCCCCGGAGCCCAGCGAGAACGTCCGTTTTAGGGTTTAGGGCGGGCGCACAGCCGCAGCCCGTGCTGAAAATGGGTTCGGGGTTGAAGTCTTGAAAGCATTGGTTTTGGACATACCACCCCACTAAACAGTAGAAGACTAGTCATATCAACACAAGTAGCAACAGTAACAGTGGTAATTGATTAAAATAGTTGTGGTAGCAAGTACTCAAAACGGTGTAGAGGTACGGTAATAACGATAACACACACACACACACACTTACCGTGACTGAACCCCAAATGCATAGCAGTTTACTTCATGCTGGCTGCACAGCATGGCCCAGAATTTTCTACAAGCCCACATCCTTCAAGTTCTAAGCCCTACGGACCCGAAGGGCCAAAGCCCTGCACTTTTAAAGTGTGAAAAGCCCGAGACCTTAGACTTCAGACCTTTATTGATATTGTGAACCTCAGAGTACTTATATAATTAACCTAATTAACCCAAGCTTTCCAAGTCCTGAAGCTGTAAAGCTCTAAAGGCCTCAAGTCTAACCCCTAAACCCCTAATCCCTTGCCTTTGCCAAGGCGCAGTCGCTGTCGTGCCCGGGCCTAACCCTGGGCTCGCTCAAGCCTGTCGATAGAGGAATGCAGAGTCTTTTAGGTTTTGGGGTTTAGGGTAATTTAGGGTAAGGCTGAGGCTTTAGGGTTTTTGCGGTTCAGGCCCTAATTACTTTTTAGCGGGGGATTGAAAAAACGAGATCCATGCTAGGGGGGTTAGCAAGAAGCTGGGTTTGTGGTGAACACATCTGCAGCAGTTGTTGCCCGGAGTAATGAATCAAGGCCGAGCTTGGGCACAAATCCAAACATAATAAAGCTGCTCCCAAAGCTTCCATAGGCTTCTGAATCAGGTGACATCTCAGATCTGCCCCTAAACCATTCACCCTAGCTTCCACACTCTGAAAACTAAAACCCTAAACCCCAAACCCAGAAGTACCCTCTCAGATGTGCTACTGCAGCTGTTGCCTTCTTCTGCTTGGAGGGTGCCATCCTCAGACAGTGAAGCGCTTTGATCTCAGTCGTTGGATTTAGGGCAGAACGCAACTGTGCGAGCTCGCTCTTGGATTCTTTGCCACTGGCTTCGGCTTGGAGGCATTGTGGTTTTCGGTTGGCAGGATGGTGTCGTCTTTCGGAATTCCTCAGCCCAGACGAGTAGTGAGTAGTGTGTTTTCGAATCTGCACGTACTGAGTCTCGAAGCATCATCATCATCACGCAGGTTTTGTTCACTATCAAGAGATTTCCTGGGTCGCTATGTTTCCTGCTGTTGTCTCTGCTGGTGGTGCCCACTGTTGTCTTTTGTCATTTTGCTGGTCGGCGTCGTTGCTGCCAGCTCCAGTGCTGCCCGTCATTGCCACACAATGCTCTAGTGCATTGCTACTGATCCCACTCTGCTGTGCCCGCTTCCCGCTGCAACTGCCACTGCAAGCAGGACGACGACTCTTCTACTCTAGAATATGCTACCACTACCTCTACCACCTGTGCCGGTGCCTTTCAAAGCTGAACCCGAAGCCCCAATGACAGGTTTGACATTGCATGTCGGAGCTTCAGCTGCGTCAGTGCCGGAAGCAAACCGGAACATATGACACCGTCTTAGGTTTGCGGTTGGTTTCAAATTTAAATGCGGGCTGTGCTGGGACGCCGACGAGGTTTGCAACGCTCCTGGTGGTGGTGTGCCCAGGAACAAACCTGTGTTGCTTGCACTTAGGGGCCTATGTAGAGGCTTCGCGTTCTCAGCAGCAGGAAGAAGTGAAGTAATTATCTCTTTCCTTTGGCGAAGCTTCAATGCTGGGGTTGAGGATGCTGGGTAGCTTGATTCAGAGGCTTGAAGGGGAGTCGGCATCTGTGCGGGCGGACGGCATCTGGAGAAAGTAGCACGATAGCCATTGTTTAGGGGTCGCAGTTTCAAGAACTATAGACTCTAGACTATTGATATAGTTTTCTTAAACTTCCTAGTATAATCATGGAGTAATACGCCACCAAAAAAGCCATTCCAATAGTTGAAGCGCCTCTGTTCGTTGTCAGGATGTGACCCGTTGCATCATGGAGCCAACAAACCGAAGCCAATGATTTGTAAAGTTCTTAACATTGGCAGAAACCTACAGCCACATGCACTGACTTTTTCCTTATTCTTCAATATCGCTTACATCCCGAAATTTTATGCACCAAACATCGAGAAGATCCTTTTTGGCCTCCATGGAAAATCAGATGCCTCGTCTTGAACTACTCGACGCCGGGTTAGTCCGGTAGCCCTCCTGGCGCCTACAGAGCTGCAGAGCTCACAGGCTTGTTTCGGGTGCAAGAGGTTTACGTTTCAGAAGGCCTGCGGTTTGGGAAGGTGCAGCAGCATGGTGCTCTTAGCTGTTAAGCTGAAGGAAGGGATTCAGGGTTGATAGGGTTTTGGTTTGCGCGGGTTTAGTTAGGTCCCCCAAGCTTGCCGGCCAAGTTATTCGCGACCTCTCCATGGACGCGTCTCTGCGAAGATTGCGGCTGGCCGCCACGGGCCGATCCCCCTTTCGCTATTTTGGTGGTTCCTCACTACATTTATGGTATAACCGGCCCCAAAACCCTATTATTCCAATTTTTCAGGCTCCTTTATTAAACATGTAGGGTTCCTGGGTGACTCTCTGGGCATCAGGAATCCGGCAGTCCATTCCTGTCTCAGCCCGAAGATTCGATGTTTACGAAACGACGTCCTCCCTTGGCTACCTACAGTGCATTGACATGAAAGCCAGGGTTTATGAGTCTACGGCTCCAAACTTGAGGGAAGCAGTTTCATGAATTAAGGAGTATATCACCTTAAATTCTATGGGACTTATCTTGACCTAACATTCGGATTTCAGCCTTTTCCTTAATTTAAAGGTATTGGGCTCTCTGCATCAGGGTTTATGGCATGCTGGACGGGAGCTCGACAAGCCCACAGGTAGCCCAGTTTGATTTAGGGTTGAGCGTCAGTGTTCGTATATAATACAGGTTACTCTGAGGGTTCGTTAGCAATTCTATCGATGTCCAGGGCAACGCTTCGGTATAGAAGAGTTTGATTTGTCAATTGAATTGCTCTGGCACATGACGGTTCAGCTTTATGAGAGGGCTTTCGAGAGATAGCATTCGCTGCTGTCAGTAGACGCGCAGCATCACCTCCACCGCCACGACTGCGACCACTTTTAAGTACCTGCACCACAGCGAACACCACCACAACGACAGCCTCTAGTGCCGCTGCCTGCCTAGGTATACATAGACCCACGTATACGTTCTGCTACATGCAAATTTTGTGTGTGTATTAGCATGTACATCCACATATACATATAGTTTATATGTTGCAGACATGCATACATACATGCATGCATACATGCGTACATGTACACACACCCTAGTCTAGTAATGTCTAACATGACTAACAGCGAGAGGACGACACATCACGGCTTCTCCCCGCAGCTACACTAAGCACCAAACCTTAAGCCCTTTATATCCGCCTCAAACCCCGATGCTTGCAGGCCCTTGTGTGCCTGTCTGCACGGTGCAAACTTTAAATCCGATGCAAACCTGAAATCCGATCTCGGCTTCTCCCGCAGCTCCCTCTTGGGCTTGGAGTCATGCTTCGCCCACACCGCGCCCGGGGTTGCGACTCCGGGAGTTGCAGCTGGGATCTGCAGCTAAGGGCTTTTGGGTGATATACAGTATACAAATATAGACTAACGGCTATATTATGATACCAAGTGTGGAATAAGGAGCATCAGGGATTTTTAGCCAACAGGGCTTTGGGGGCATTTTTAGTTCAAATAAGCAGCATGTCATGAAGACTTCTATAAGGGGATGCTTATAGAAAAATGTTTTCAGTTGTGTTTCTTGAGACCTCACAAGCAAGTTTAAGAAGGGTCTGGCCTCGGGTATACTAAGAGTATACATATATACATACACACACATACATAATACATTTATGTATATAGTTAGGGTCGGGGAGGGGTGTTGAAACACAACGAGTGAGTGATTGGCTTTCGCCGGATTAATGTGAACGGTGCGGGTACTCAGCTCGGGCTCACAGGCCTTAGATCATGCGTGCTCTAGACAATTTGGGTTCATGAGTGGTCGCAACGGTTCCGCTTTGTTCATGTTTTCTCGCTCTGGCCCCAGGAGAAGAAAACTAAGCTTGGTCTGATGGTTAATCTCAGATAGGCGAACAGTTGATGATACGGCCGATTTTGGTATGCAAGGTACAGCCTGCCATTGTGTGCAGGGTAGCAGGGGCATTAATTTGTTTCCGAGCTGCAATATCAGGATCTCCAGACTTAAGCAAGGCCTGGGCTTAGATAAGACCTGGAGGCACAAAGCTCTAGCCGGAAGAGAAGGCATACGATAGTAAGTCATGATTCATAAACCCTTATAGATCTCTCGCAATTTGACTTCTTGTGGAAAATTGTAGAAATATTATAGACCTTTTTGAACTGTAAAAGCAAGGTTTACTTGAACCACGACCCAATTCTGAACTCACTTGAGTCTGCTCTTACAAGACTGGTGCAAGGGAAGGCTTCTTGCGTGTTTGTGTGGAGGTGCTGTTGCCTCTTCTAGACAGTCTAGACCCTGACACCTCAGCACACTAACGTCTTCAGCCCCGAACACTAAAGCCTTAACACCATGTTCCACACCTGAAGCCCCAGCTGTACAATCCAAACGGAAAGGTCATGGATGAGGAGGCGGCGCGGCCTCGACGAGGCACTGGATTCTTTGCGAGTTCTCTAGTTTTTGTTTTTTTTGTTCAGGTTTAGGGTCTGCTTTTCTGTGCGAGAGTTGGAGGATGCGCTGTTTGGGCTGTTTGGAGGATGCGCTGTAGAGATTGCATTTATATGAGAAATGTAGTTCCCCGATAACCCACATATCACATATATGTATATAAGTTTTATAGACCCCAAGACCTTGTCAAAGCATTAACGCCCGTACAATTGCGCTCTTCTGCGTTGGGGTTCTGATTCAGATTTGCTTTACGGAACAGTAATGTGTCTTTAGACATGACCGAACATTGTTGTTGCACCACAGGGTGTACGGTTTGAGGTGCGACCCTGACCAAGACACCAAATTTGAGGTGTTCCCTACAACGCGTTTGCCTGTTAGGCGGCTTCAGGGGTTTCGGGCTTAGGAACGTTTAGGCCCGGGGCTTCGGTGTAGGGACGGACTCGTAGGCTTGGACTTGGATTCCTAACGCAAACTTTACAGTCCCATAACTTTAAGGCCCCAAATCCATGGAAATCGAAATCAGAACTCATAACGCCTTTTCAAGCTCCGCCGCCAAGCATTGAACTCCGCAATCTCAAGCCACAACTCCTGCCTAAAGCCAGCCAGCTAACAACATGAGCGGTCTGTGATGTGGAAGCACTTTGTTGGGCTAGCCCGGAGGTCGGCGTTAACCCTGTACCCAACTGCCAAGCCCTGAGTTTCCTACGCATTTTATGTAACATGTGTATCTGCATATGTGAATATACACATGCATACAAGAGCTCAAAAAAAGCCCTAAAGCCCAGTTTTCTTCATCCGCCAGGGTGGTTTCCGCGAGATCCTAAGCTCCCGGTCAACCTCCACCAGGTTTGCAGCTTAAGGTTTAGGGTGTAGGCCTTTTGGGGGGATCTTGGGCTGCTGGGTTTGGGCCCTCAAGGTGCAAGGCTTTGGGCTTGGGTTTAGAGGGTTTTACAGGTTTCGGTTTGGATGTTTAGGTTCGTCGCTTATGATTTCGGTTTGAAGCTGTGCAGGCCACGAATTCGCAGTGGCTCGGGATCTTGCGCAGGGAAGAACATCGGCGCTGTGTTTTGCAACGTCTTGATTGACAGAACCATCAACTTGGACGGATGATGTCCGGACAGCGTGCCATGCAGCACCAACACCGAGGGGGAGTGGCTTGCGGCTGACTCACTCATGATCTGTAGTTTGCTCGAGTCCCCACCATATCAACCACCGACGGATAGCAGGATATTGCGGAAATGATTCGGTCAGCGGTGATCCCAAGTGTTGAGGAACTCCTGTGCATGCTGCGGAACATGGACGTAGCATGAATGATGCATTTCTGGCATCCGGAAGTGTGGCAGCTTGTCAGCTCCTGGCTTAGACAACTCTTCAGGTGGGACAGTGTAGCCCAACCTTCAAAGTTTTTTGTGGCTGAAAGAACCTACGAACGAGCGTGCTTCTAACGTGCACATTCGACCGCATTTTGGATCTCAATGGTCATTTTTCTCCTCATACCACCAGCGCTCGCTGCCGTTTTGACGTCACCTATCCTTACCATTGTGCCTGCAACCCAGACCCCCTTTCCCGCTCAGGCATGTAGCACTTTCCGGATGTTTCTTCATGCTTGTCACGATTCTTGTCACTAAGCAGCATTTTAGGTAGGGCTTCAAAACTTAATCCGACAGACTGACTATAGATGTATCTAAGCCCAAGACCCGTTTAAACGATGCGGCCTCTGACAGGACCTGCTGGTCGCCCTGCAGAAGGCGGTGTGTCAGAAACCGTATAGCGGGTCGAAGGTGGAGGAGGTATGATAGCTTGTTTTCGTTCAGTCTTTTCTCTTTTGCTCTAAGTTCGTATAGGTTTTGATGAGTATTTTGTGTTGTGGTCTAGCTTGATTACCATTTCATCACCGCAGGGAATTCAGGGAGATGCTGGAGGAGTTCATAGGGTCTTGCAAGGGGCTTATGTTAGCTAAGGGTTCTCGGATCCAAACCGTTTGAAGAGGTGTTGGTGCTATTTTTATAATGAACCTTGTTGAGAAACCTTGGGGCCAACAAACCGTGTCATCTTCGATGGCTGGCCTTGAGTTTATTTTGTCATACCTTTGGTTAGTAGGGAATGGAAGAATGGTAGTAATAGTAGTTATAGTTGTACCCCATTCCTCCATTCCCTACTAACCGAAAGTAAGTTGCTAGCATGTCGTGGTTTTGGCTCAGTCCGCAGCTTCGTGCTCAGCGGTTCTACTTTTGCCATGGTTCTGCCGTGGACTTACCTGAGAAAACCTGTAGCAACTCCAATAGCTGCAACCGACAACTAACCGTCGGCCCTTGGCTAGCGGACCCTAACCGGTTTTGCTGGTTCAGATTATAGGGCTGAGGATCTAGGTGGAAACCACCAGAAGCCTCAACAACAACCATAGTTCCCGAGACCATGGTGCGCAAAGTTAATCGCCGGAGGCTGTGGGGCGTCCTGCACCAACTCCCACTCCCGCTGAACCCGAGGCCAGCGGTTGGAGTGAGATTTTGGGTTCCTTTCTCAGGGTCTCTATAAGGGACCCTTGAAGGATTCCTATGCTGGTCTTTTAGGATTTGGGGTCGGGCGGATAAGGTTTGGGTCTCTTGGGGCTCAGGGTTCGTTTGCGAGGCCGGGTCGGACGGTCGGATTTTGGGCTTGCTCTTTACTAAACGGTGGGACAGAGAAATCCTTCTTTGTACGCCTACCCCTTGAGAACGATCTCGCAACCTGATACATATACATGTATATATATATATATATATGTATATATTCATTCTCAGGAAGACCACACCTGTCTTTCTCTGGGCACGGCACGTGACCACAAATCACACCATGGCAGCACCGAGCCAATTGCGCAACTGTCGATGGTTCCCAGCATTTTGCAGACAAGTTACATTGCATTCTTGCCGAGGGTTCCCCCAAAGAGCCAGTTCATCAGGCCGTAGCCACTTGGTCAGGCCATTCAACGTAGTGAGAATACCTGAATATTGGGCTACCGGCTACCTATCTTGCGCAACCGCATCTTTTAAGCTGCCGGATTTCTTGTTTCACCAAGTCTTTCGGACCCACAGGGGCTAGCCATCTAGTAATTGCCAGGGCTTCTTGGGAACCCATCTTTCTAACTCCAACGGTTCTATCTCTTTCCCTATGATAAAATTGGCCCCGAAAGCCTCAAATTGTGGGATTTTCCGATCAAGGCTTGACTAAAACCCTAAAGAACCTACTGTACCGGTTTTAGGGCTCCAGGATCTAGCGAGCCCCAAGCCCAGTGGCAAAAAAGGGCTCCTCTTATGATTTCCTTACACAAGTCCATTGACAACTAGACATATGAGTCCCTGGAGGCTCGTAAATTTGTGCAGAGATACCCCAGAAGCCGGGCGTTTCCAGCCTAAACCTTAACTTAAGCCTTAAGGGTCCAAAGGACCCAATAATAAGGTACTTGGGTTTAGGATAGTAGTTAATTATGTAGGTTAGGATTTTGGAGAGTATAGGATTATTAGGTACTTGGAGCCTTCGGGATAAGCCATGGAGCCTTGAAGTTGCCACCTAAACCTTCCCAAAGGGTCCAAAGTACCTGTGCAGTAGAATGTAGGGTTTCCAGCCTAAACCTTAAACCTTTGGCCGGTGAGGTCCCAGCGCAGGCTTCGCCGCAAAGCAGCTGCCTCAAAGTATCGCTTCAGTCGAGGCTTATGTGGTTGTTCCCCCCCAGACCTTCCAAAATCCCTTAGTTGAGGAATATACCTTAAATCATATTAGGGACCCTTTTATAATTTAAGGTATATTCCTTAATTAAGGGGTTTTGGAAGGTCTGGGCCTGCAGAGGCCCCGTATATCGTCGCACTGCACACTCCTCCAAACCCGAGGTTGTTTATGGAGGTCCCGAAAGTAAGCCCATATGAGCCCTAATCCCTAGTCTGTGTTCTGGTGCCGCAAGCTACACTTCCAGTCAACATAATCCGAACCTTGGACTGTTGTGTCTCAGTCGAGCATACGACAGTAGAGAAGCAGCAGAGAGCACGGCTGCTTGAGAGCTTCAAGCCGTGCGAAGAAGGGGACAGGTTTTCAGGGCTGGAAACTTGCAAGGCACCTGAAGGATGTGCAGGCAGCTTCCCATGTGGCCAGTCACAGAGTGGAGCAGATTAGCTGGTCAACAGTTTCAGGGGATTTTCGCTCCTGCTTTGATCTATCTAGGATACTTCGTTCGCGGTGTGTGAATGCCTTGTGAATGAATCAAGGGATGTTGCGGCATCAGATGGGTGCTAGATTTATTTCTATGGGTGATAATTTTCTCCTTGAGTCTGACAGTGGGGTTTCGTGGTCCAAGAGCCTTTCGATCCTTCTTCATATCCGCCCTTTCAGCCGTTTCATTGCTCTTTCCCGCTCGGCTGTGCCCTGACCCACCTCGCAGAACACAAGGCCTTCGGTGGGAAGCTTTGCTTAAGGGTTTTAGTTCTGACCGGCTTATGGAGGCACTTCAGAGAAACCTCGTTCAAAAAGGGGTTTTGGATTAAGGCTTTTCCTGTGCGCCTGTGACCGGCCCGTCTAGAGATGTAATATAGCTGCTTCAGTAGGTCGCTTCTTGTTTTCAACGTTGCATCATTGAGATGACAAATGTCTTTCTTGAATCAACACAGCACCTACACGATCATGGGAGAATCGAGAAATTCACGGTATGGAGCCGTACAGTGCCGAGAGCGACAACGACGGCAAGGGAGAGAGACGACGAGGACAGTTTCAGTGGCAGTGTGATGAAGAGAAGATTTGCATGATGCCCCTGCTGATGCTGATGCTGCTTTTGGCGAGGTTGGTGCTCATGGTGCTGGTGATGGTGATGATGATGAAGAGGAGGAGGATGAAGAGGAGGAGAAGGAGGAGGCTATTGCCGGAGCTGTGCGACACAACTTCCCTGCAACATGCAGAGGTGCCGTATAGGCCCAGGGCGGAAATTCCCGATATCCAACACTCCAATCCCCCAGATCATGGCGGACAAGAAGCCGGGCAGCGACAACAGAGCCTTGTTTGCATCAACACTTGGTGGCTTTGCATTTACATTCCTTTGGCCACCACGTTTCTAAGCAAGCTCTGCACAAAGAACAGTGTCGGTGTCGGTATTATTTTACAGGGCTAGTTGGAACCTTCCATCCTTCGCCAGTTTAGACATTTTGCACAGAGAGTTTTAGGTTCTTTGGGCTCAGAGTTTGCGCGCCAGTGTTTGCAGCATGACTGTCAACCGGACGGCCGAGGAAGGGGCCCTGCCGATAATCCATAGGATGCTTCTATAGCAGCATATTCTGATTAACCAGGGCTAAGAGATTAATTATACGGCCTAGGGTTTAGTCCGGCGTTGTTGTGTGGGGTTCCCTTCAAAACATCGTCTACAAATCGAACGATTTGGGAGAAGGACATCCGCACCGCACTCTGGCTTTGCTTTGGAAAGTCAGGCGTTGTCATCTTGCCTTCCTGCCTCTTCCACATCGGCAACACCCAGCGCGAGCAAGATATGTTGAACCTTCCGCCTCCGTCACTCATCAGCACTATGTGGGGGTGTAACGCAGCGTAAGGTTGAGGTGGTAGAGTTCAGAGCATCAGGGAGTCTGCAGACTTCATCGGCGTGGGCCTGGAAGCATGCTGCTGGTCTTCACTTTTGCCCGTTACACGACCGAGGTGCGACCACCACATGGATGTCAGCACTTGTCGTGTAGTGACAAAAACCAACGTTCTTGTCACTTCAACTTTCTGCTTTGTCATTGCTGATATGGAACCTGATGCATGCACGACAGGATCCTCAAACCCTCAAGTTTCTGAATCCTTTAAAAGTCCTCGAATTCTTGCATAGAGGCCGAACCCTGCAATCCGAAACCCCGAACCATACTCCCGAAAAGGCCTGGAGCCTACCGCTTGTGAGGTCTTGTTCCTCGAACCCCGGGAATCCCAACCTCTTCCAGCTGCGCACGTCGCACGTCCGCAATTGGACATGGCGGCTGCCGTGGTTCGCAGAGTTCAGAGTGTCCTCAGGGATGTACGATCAATTTACAGGGCTTTGGGCTTGCAAAGCTTGTGGGTTTGTAGAGTTTCTAGGTTTTTCAGGGCCGTGAAGCTGTAGGCCGCTTTGAACATCTTCTGTAATTATTGTTGCGATGCTCAGCTACGCACAAAAGTCGTCTTCGAAATCGTCTGCCAAGGTAGAACCCAAGCCTGGAATGAGAACCCTAAACCCTTAAACTTTAAGCCGTCAACCCTAAACCCTAATGTGAGTCAGAGCCCGATAGAGGCGGCACGAGGCACAGCCCAAGACGGCAGACAAATGCCGGAAAGCCCACAGCCAGAGAGAACCCTAATCCCGAAAACCCAAACCTAAATCTCCGATCAGCACAAGACAGCTGAAGAATGCCAGGGAGGTCACCGAGGCCCAAAGCAGCACCTCAACATAGGGATCTCAAAATTTATGGGTCTCCTGAATGCTTCTTTTTATGAGCGTTTCGCAACCCAACGTAATTCTTCGTTCCTTACCATGATTATGCAATAAAATGTACCCAGATCCGTGTTTCATGAACCAAGGCCCCTCTATGATTACATACGAAAATATAACCAAACCCCTATTTCAGTTTGTAAGGCCGCTGTATGACCTGCGTCTCTTTGCGCGCTCTCGAAAGGAAAGGTGCCGTCCCGGGGGCCTTGGCCCGGACCGCCCTGGCAGGCCCTTCGCCGAAGGCTTGGCCAAGGGATGTCTGCGCTTGAGGCTCTTAATATTTTTCCGAATATAGAAACCCTATATATTCTACGATGTAGATACTTTGGAGCCTTTGGGTGGTACACGTTTAGGGTTGAGGGTTCAGAGTTTCGGGCTTGGGGCTCTTAAGGTTTTCGGGCTCATAGGGGTTTAGAGTTCAGGGCTTTAGGCTTTCGAGGCTTTGGGCTTCAGGGTTGGAGAGCTTGGGGCTTTAGGCTTTTGTAGGTTTTAGGCTTTGGGCTTTGAAAAGTTGCGGTTTCGGTATGAACTATAGACCTTTGGGCCACAAGAAATTCTGGCGTTCTTGGACTCTGGGTTGCATTATCTTAATTATCTTTCTCCTATCCTAAAGTTATAGGTAGGTTATGCGAGGCAAGGCGCGAAAATTCAGGGTACAGTCAGGCTGTTGAGGTTTACGGCTGCAGATCACGATTTTTTCAAGATCAGGAGTACTGGCCTCGGGGTCCTGTGGAACGACGGTGGAGTTTAGGGGATCCCTGTGGCAAGGAGCGAGGGTCCCCGATCTGAGGAGACTCCAACATGGGTCGAAGGGGTTTAGGGTGTGGCTTATGGAGGCACTTCAGAGAGACCTCGCTCAAAGGGTTTAGGGTGTGCGGGTTTCGGACCTGCCGAGTTCAGAGCTTAGAGAGGGTTGGGATTAGCGACGTACCTCATAGGTACAGGTCAAGCGCAGATGCAAGGACAGAAGGTCTGAAACCTAAATCCTGGACATAATCGCAATGTGCCATCTGAACGGTTGCATGCGTCAGGATTGCTTCAGTACAGTGTTGAGAGTTTTGTTGGAGCAGCTGCAACTTCCAAAAACACCATAAATCGCAAGTAGCAATAGAAAAAGCCCTAGTTCACTCGCCGAGCCTCGCAAGCCCCACAGACAAAGACGCGCTTCAGTAAACTATAACCTTATTGGGTTCGTAAGGTTTACCCAGAGGCTCATAGTAGTTCCTTTTGGGGGGATTTATATATAGAATCCTACATAAGGTAATCCCAAAACGGAACTACTACGGAGCCTATGGGTACAAGCCCTAGCAAAGACGGAGTGCAACGCAAAAATGGGTTTAACGTCGCCGAGCGCCTTTGCTGTCCAGGCAGTGGAAGCACCGAAATGAGGACGACAGTCGGCTCATTGTCAGGCTTCCGAGAAGTTTAAGGTTTGAGCTTCCTTTCAAGGCTTCAATTCAGAGTTTCCACAGGGTTCTGCGGTTCAGCTTGCCACTTGGGGGGTTTCTGACTTTTGACTCCATCATAGCATGCGCGGCAGTTTACGGGTTTAGGTTTGATGCTTCTGAGGAGGACCGAGGGGGCCTCATCAATGGGTTTGTGGAAAATCGCAAAGATTCCACATCCACAAGCACTGGTTGTTTTGGGGTCTTAAGCTGGTCTTCAGTCTATAAATAGTTAAAGGCCATTAGGAAGAATCCCAGCAGGGACCGGCGATTGGAATCTCGTGGGTCCCGTTTCGGAAGTACTGTTTTGTGATGTTTGTGTACATTGCATTCCGGCATAAAACCAAAGGGTTATGAACGATTTGTTATTTGGCTGGGTCAAGGGGACTAGTAAATATGGAAGCAGGAGGAAAATGGGCTTCTTCTTCTTTTTTTCGCCATGGCTGCAGGCCTTTGGGTTCCCTGTTTGGGTATGCTCGATTTCGTTGGTTTGGGGGTTTGTGGCTCAGGACTTGCCTTGACTATCCCGGTGTGATTGCGAGCTGCAGTGGCATCCGGACTTTAGTGTGCAGACTCAGGCTGACCCGAAACGCTAAACCCGAAGCCTAAAAAATCCCCGCCTCCCCGTGGAGTCAGAGTATCGTGTCTTGGTCTTGCACTCAGCTGCATCAGCCTGACCCTCCCGGGGCTGAGTTGATTCCCTATAGGAACCCTTTCCGAATCCTTTGTAGAAGCTCCAAAACGTCTCCTTGTAGGAACTTGGAACACCATGATTATTTTCCAAACAATCATAAATTGAGTTTCTATCTCTAGAGCCAAGCTTCTTCTGAAGCTCCCCATCGCTGCTCTCTGTTGAAGCTGCGACGTACTGCGCAGGGCGCTTCGTGATCGCTGCACGGAGCCGCTAGCTAGGAAAGCAATAGCCTCTGGCCCCCCATGGTTGCACCGACTGATGTGTCTGGAGCACAAAAGCTCACATAATCAGCATGGATTACTCTTTGGGTTTCTAGAATTAGGGGGGTTTGGGGTCGTGCGTTTCTCTGTCAGTGTTGAGGGTTTCTCATACAGCGTCTCGAGCATAGAAGCGAAGGAGGCGGTTGATGTTACTGCCCTAAACCCTACCTAGATCCGCCCAAACTAGGTAAAACCATGGCCCAACGCCTATAAAAGACCATTATTCTGCATAACTTCAGGGGTCCAGGTAAACCCTAATCCGCTGGTTGGGTCATAGCTACCCCGGTGCCCGGGGGACCAGCGAGAGATGGCTGAACTACGGCAGGCGCTAAACTGCCTGTTGTTTCACATGCTCCCCACGAGCGGCTTTTGGGTTTACAGGGTTTATAGGGTCTAGGGTTTATACTATGATCGGGTCTTAGGGTTTAGGGATTAGTGGACTTAAGGGTTTAGGGTTTAGGGGTTTAGAACTCCTAGTTTCTGGATCCTTGGCAACAGGTCGGAGGGTCAGTCCTTGCAGCCAGCAAGCCCGGGTTCACAAAAGGTGTTTAGCACTTCAGCATCCTTGAGCGGTAGTCCTGAAACTCAGTGTTTGGGCTTTCAGGGTGGGTTCGGGACCTTTGATTTTGCAAAGCCTCTGTGGGGAATCCCGGAAGAGTCCTGGAGAAGTCTCTCGGCCTCGCTGAACACAAGCGGGCGTCAGAAGAAAGATGCGTTTGGTTGCTTAACTCCTTTCTTTATTGTGGGCCCTTGCAGTAACCCCTCTGGACGCCTCTCCTGACATAGAGATTTCATTGACTACCGCCGAACGAGCTTCGTGTAGGCTATGGCTTCTGAGTTCTGAGTGACCCACTGAAGTGCCGGCAACCGGGGGTGGTTCCAAACACGCGGTTGTTAGTTGGTGGATTACCCGGTTGCGGAAACTATGGCAAATCCTGAGCCATAAACATCCTAAACCCAAACCCTTAAACCCCAAGCTCCACACCCTGAATTTCAAGCGCCCGTAGTCCCGAAATACCTCTCCACCAAGGCGCCCCGAGCGCTGAAGGCAGAGGGCAGATCATGGGCCCGGAGACCCAGTCACGCCTCGGAATGTCTGGTCTCTTGAGGTTTTAAGGTTTTCAAGTTCAGGGACCAGGAATTTCGGGTTATAAGAGTTCATGGGCGTAAACCCTACCTCCTAAACCCTCTCAGCTGGGCGGGTGGAAAAAAACCCTAGAGGGGGTGTTTTGAGGGTTTAGGATGTATGTAGGGTTAAGAACTTAGGAGTCAGAGGTGCTCCTCTTCCTAGGCTCCAGCCCGTGACTCGAAAGGAGGTGCTCCTAGAGGTTTAGGATTGAGGGGTGTAGTTTGATTTATGTTCATAGGGTTTTGTGGTGTAGAATTTAGTGGATTATGAGGCTGCCGCACTTCGAGTGAAGGTGGCTGGGCATTCTTACTAAGGAGGCAGCTGGCATTTCGCTGTAAACCGTCAGGCCCCATAGCCTCAAACCGCGAACCTGCCAAAGTCTGAAGGAAGAAAGGAGATCATGAACCAGACAACATGATCCCGAAATAACGTTTTAGGCTTTAGGTTTGACAGGGCTTAGGGTTTAGAAGGTGTAAGTATAGGATCATTATTTCGCGGGCTTGGAGCAACACCTGCTCAGGCCGACGGACGTTTCGTGCCGGCGATCAGGCCTTCTACTGGAGCCCCTCGACCCTTGAATTCGTGTATTCTGGAAGCCTAAATAGTTGCCAATCTTCTTCCTTAGGCCCTATGGGGTTCCATATTACAACTACACTGTCTCATTTTATTTGCTTTTTACAGGGATCAGGGTTTATAGCTTCTAGGGTTCAGGGTTAAGCTTTTCAGGTTTTTGACTTCCACCACCGCCTTTGTTTCAGGTTCTGCGCGTCACGCGATGCCTTGTCGCAGACATTGAGATGGGTATAGCAGATCGTGAACTTTTGTGGTTTATTTCAGAGGGTCGGAGATCTGCCTGATCCGTGCATAAGCCGATCTCATGTGTTATATATATATATATATATATATGGAAACCGACACCGTACATCCCATACGTCCTAAACGGTACGCTTCTCCACGAGATATCATGGATGTCGAAGCCCGACTGGGACTCGAACTGTGTTCCGTCTTCGATGGCTAGGCTGTCTTGCACAGGGCCTAGCTGACGTCGCAAAAACCTAGCAGCCCAGCCGCTAGTAGTAGGTTTCTGGGCCATGGGCACTTTAACGCTGTTATATACAGGGTTAATGGAACCACTATCTATTCTTTCTATCTATATACATATACATATATGTATATATAGGTACCCGGGCTTCTACGGTGATCGCTTGCTTCAGGTGCCACTCATCGCTGTTGGCTCAAGACCTGCGTCCTCTCCGTCAACAGTGATGGCCGTGAGCCTAAGGGTTTTTCTTGCTCAGGTGCTCGGATATTGGATGAAACAGAATAGGCTAAACTAGAGCCATTCTTAGTATGAACAAACGTTTTATCCAGAGTTAGGGGGAGGAAGAGTGAGGGGGGAAGGGCGAGTCTCTGGAACTCGTGGCATGAACCGCATTGCGCAGGAAGCTTCCGGAGAAGAATCACCCTAACTACTGTTGATGATACAAATCCTGCATTAGCCATAATGAGGAATATGCCATAATTCCCATAGTTTAGGGTCATTGAGGTAATGCAAGATTCATTTCATCAACCGTACCCCATGCCTGCCATTCCAAGCCCTTTATGTCTTCGAGGCAAAAAGCGTTTCCTCTGTCCTACTTCTCGGCTGATGCATCTGCCCCTGTAACCTGTTTGGGGGCCCGAGTTGGATACAACATGGTTTTACTGGAAGTGCTGCCAGCATTCCAAGCTCTACAGTTCTTGAGGTGTCGGAGTCGATAAGTCACTCCTAGACTCTACCTTAACCCTGAATAACCTACCCTTTTAAGGATTTATATACGGAGATCATAATAAGGAACCCTAAAAAGGTAGGTTATTCAGGGCCCAGGTAAACCCTCCACCCGGAGTGTCGGAGGCGATAAGTCAGAGACCTACAACCTGGACTGCAAGTCCAAAGTTGAGCCGGCACCTGAGCAGTGGAAGAGCATCCTTTGCGGCCAGCTTTAGTCGTCATCAGTGTTATCGTCGGTGCTTCGTTAGGATGTTGTTTCCGTTCTCATCTTGATTTCCGTTCACCATTACAGAAATGTTATAACGGTTCCTTTGAAGGATCCTATCGGGGGGTTCCTTTAAAGGGCTCTTATAAGGGCTTCCTTATGGATTCCATGAAGAAGGTAGGGTTTGGGGTGTAGGGTTTCCGGCACTTCGCGGGTTTAGGTCTAAGGTGTGCTCGCTCATTTACTTCCCAGCAGAGGCTTTGCAGGCTGGATGCAAAAAAGGTCTAAGGTGTGCTCTAATGAGGTCCTGGCAGATGCGCACGGTGGACGAGCCGCGCGATGGCCCGCCCGACTGTTCGGAAGGGGCCGGAGGCCGGCTAGAAACTGCCCTTTTCAAGGGGTCGAAAGGTTTCCAAGATTCAGAGTTTTGTGTTTAGAAAACTTGTCTAGCAGTTTCGGTTTATCTCTGGGTGGGCAGTGTCGGCCGCGAGTCCGTAGCCTAGCGCGGAATTTCCCCCGAAGGGTCCAAGGTACTATATAGTGGAATGTAGGGTTCCTCTTCTTTGAAAATGTCATTGTCTTGTGAGTTGGGGAAGTATCCCTAAACCCTAAACCCCATGACCGTACCTAAGACCCTTTGGGTCCCGAAACCCCTAAACCCGACCCAGGCGGCTTTGCCGTGGGCATGCCAGTCCAGTGCTTCAACCAGCAGAAACGCGTTTGGGAGGACGGCATCGCTCCTTGGCATATGCTCGAAGTATACGCTCTACATATGCATATATATATATATGTATATATATATATACATACATATACAGACACACGTACATATGCACATGTATGCTGCATGTATGTGTGTATATACACACATACAAGCGTGTAGATTACTACGTACATGCTTGCATACATTGCATACATACATAAATGTGAATGTTGTAGACAGGAACTTAACTTAGCCAGCCTGATTCTCCACACACGTCATCACAAGCTGTTATCAATATACCCTAAAAGCCTAAAGACTATTGCCTATTCTACTTCTGTTTTCGCTCGTGCCTGCTCCAAAGTGCTCGGCCAACTCAGGTCGTCCGAAGATATCAGCTGCTCGGCATAGTGGCGTGTGTGTGTGTGTGTGTGTGTGTGTGTGTGTGTGTGTGTGTGTGTGTGTGTGTGTGTGAGTGCTTCCCGGCCGTGGTCAAGGCGGTCATGACGATGCCATGGCGATGATGAGGTGATGACCTGATGGATCCTTACGGCATCAAGTTTGAAACGCTTTTTTGTTAGCAGTACTCGGAATGGTGTGTTTCAGTTAAGTCAGCACTCCTCAGTCAACATACTTGCCGGCAGCAGGTTGTCCCTGCATCGGTTGGATGCAAATGGGCCATGTATGTCAACAGTTGCATCGACGCCGATCTCAGGCAAGACAAAATCATTGTCTTCGATGTTGCCACTTTCCGGCAAACCACTCTTGGGATTTCGGGGTTTTGAAGATACGGCTTCAACCTAAACCCTAAGCCTGAAACAGATTTTGTGGACCCTAAACATATTCGAAAACCCACAGGAAGGTCATCAGGCGGGTCCTGAATAATTATTGAGCCCTCGACCGTACCTGGCATCTTCTGTGCAAAGCATCTCTCGCTTGCGGAGACACCAAAGCCCTTTCAGCAAGGAATCTGACTAGATTTTGGGGGGATCCTTGAAGCATTCTCCCTGACAACCTAGATACTCTGCCCTCGTCATTCACTCCACTTGACGGACCTCTTGCATAGCCAAGTCCGACGAATCCAACTATCTACGCATAGAAAATCGCAACGGTCCCCGCGTCGCAGGCGGTCAGCTATATCGGATTGAACATCCTCTGGTCATAACTTGAGAAGTCTGAGAACCCAAAGCCCTGACGCCTCAGAACCCGATCGATGCCTTCGGCTCTAGAGTTCTAGAGACCCCAAAACCGCGAAACCTAAACACCGCTTATGTTCCTTTTTGATAACGGGGGTGGCGTAAGGAGAAGGTGTGTAGCTTAATATGATATAATGGAGGCGGAAGGGAAACTCAATCGAACGGCAAGAACAGCAGAAGGAAACAGCACACCCAAGAATTCACCCCTTCCGCCAAAGTCTTCCATGCTGTCAAGTTCGCTAAAGCCTTTCGACCCGAATGCGGAAGTCCGTAAACCAGAAAACCTTAAATTCTGAATGTCTAAATCCCAAATGTAGCTTCACAAGACAAGAAACTTTCATTCAGTAACTGAGATGAACAACTCAAAGAACTACAACGCAACAGCTTCCGCAGATAAATGGTTCGGAAGTCTTAGAGCCCAAAACCCCAAAAGCCTGTGGAATCGTTATGGAAACCCTTCCAAGAAAGAACCTCTTCAAAGTATGCTTGCAGAATTCGTTTAACAACCCGTTGAAGTTTCTTTCAACCCGTTAAAGTATCCGAAAGCCTACTTCCTGGACCCAAACCCCTTAATCAACCAGACCCTGAACTCCGATCCCTAAGAAAACCGAAACCCGAAGCCCCAAGCCCCCAAACCCTAATATAGGTGCCTTAATAATTAGCATTGGATTTTGGGGCCCATTATACTACAAATACAATAAGGAAGTCCCAAAATAGTATAGGTAACTATTAAGAACCCTACATTATCTCTGAAGTTTTCCTGGCAACGGAGGACTGCAAGGACTCGCTGGTGCGAATGCTCCCAGCAAGTCGACTCCGTCTCTCGCGCTTCACCGTGGGGGACAAGGCTTCTTCGGTGTTTTCGGTGCGGGAGCGTGGGTGTCAGTGTTGGGTTTAGGGCATCAGGTTTTTGGGGATCTAGGGGGGGCCTCTGATTCAAGCTTTATGAGGGTTGGGATCTGGGGTTTACAACTTTCGAGGACTCATCTTGGTGGTGGGCAGCGTAGGGCAGCCATAACCCTAAGGATCCAGAGGGCCCAAAACACAAATTAGGCAATGGGTACCTGGGCCTGGGTTTGCAGTGGTCGTCATTGGTTTCGATGTCGATGGCGACGACAATGATGAACCAGGTAACGATGAACAAATAACATAATAATATCTTGATGGCCATCAAAAGTACGGTTTTCAAGATGATGGTCGGGATGGCGCTGGCAATGGTGATGAGGACCCCGATGCGGAGGACCAGTTTGCTTCTTGACCGCAACACTGTCAAAAGCAAGGCTGTCGATACTGCATGCCAGATTGGCTTGTGAGCCTACTGCTTCGAATCCGGTAAAGAGGGCAGTCCACCCCCGAGTGGCCTAGATCAGTCTTTCCGTGGACTAGCGCTCGAGCTGTGCGACAGAACTTACAACCAGCCAAGCGAGTCTTCGGACTTGCCATACGGAAGCCAAAAATTCGTGTCACCGGGTTTTCTGGTATCTTCGCCTTGCGAGTCCCGTGGCGGGCTTAGCTAGTGTCTTTACATCTACTTGGTGTGGTGTTTAAGCTCTGAAGTACAGACCATGGACTATTTCAGAGATTGCAGACCTGCCTGCCTGCATGCCTTGGAGTTGAGACCCTTAAGCAGAAGAACATGTCAGCCTAGGCTTGACCCAACCGTTCCATGGGTACTCCATAACTCTTCTCCTGGCTTCTCAGCTTCCTATCTTCTCCTGCCCGCTGCATCCGCAGGTGGAATATTGGTCCATGAACGCGAAGCAACCTGGCTGCAGATGTTTTTCTGCTAAAGTCTGTTTCACGCTGCCTTGCACAGGGCCCGAGGGTCAACAAGACTGGAAAGCCAGCTAGGCATCATAACACTAGGTCAAATTCAGTTGGGCACAAGAGGTTCTCCGGAGGAGTGAACACGTGGGGCTATAAGTCGGAGAGGACATATAGCTTTACAACCCAAGTATCGTGTCAGAGCTATCCTAAGCTGCGGCACTACAGCAACAGTGTGGGAATACTATAGGGCCTTAATAATTGCTGTGATAATTACCAATACTATTTTGGGGGTTCCTTATCATAAGTATAGTATAATGGGCCCCCAAACGCTATTCTAATTATTAAGGCCTAGATGGCCGCCAGAGAACCGAAGAAAAACCATTGAATCAGTGGAAGGTCGTGGCTGGCAGCGAAGGCGCACCCTTGGCTTTGGGCTTTGGGTCTGAAAGACCTGCTTTTTGGGTCTGCTGTTTATGATTTCCTTATAGAAGTTTATTATGGTTTCCTTATAGAAGTTTAATATGATTTTCTCATAGAAGTCCTTGAAAGGTGGGATATTTGGGGTTTAGGGCTGGTGGTCGGAAGCTGCAACTGGTCGAATGGGCTTTCAGAGCCCTGAGCTCACCACTAAAGCCGAACCTTTGGTTACTTTCTGGTGGTTGAAAAGAGGCACATGAAGCAAACAACCTCCGTATGTCAAGTTCTGGTGGGTCCACATGTTTTCAGAGCTAAGGACTTAATTAAGTTCCAGATCATAACGGGCGAGATGTACTAAGTCCCACACATTTGGGTTTATTGACATGTTTTCGGGTGGCTTCGTGTTAGTGTCGCGACATAGTTTCAAGACCTCGGCTACAGGCGGTCTGTGTTCGGTTCCGCTGGGAGAACTTCTTGCGGTCGCCTGCCAGCTGGCCGTAAGCATGGCTCCACAGTAGTTCCCTTTCGTGGCATTTAGGATCCTGTAAGGTAATCCCAAAAAGGAACTATTATGGAGCCTCTAGGTAAACACGACTCTACCCAACCCTTCATTACTGTAGTTTGGTGTTTGGGTTTGATCTTAACTCGCTTTGTTGATGGATGCCGGATTGGAGATTTTTTGTTGAACCTCGACCCCGCTGGGTTGATGATGAATCCCGGAGCAGAAGCTGCAGTTGTCCAGACCATGTTTATCGCAGGCACATCTTGGCTCGTAAAGGCACGGCCTCTACACCATCAGCATGGCGCGCCGTAGCATGGCACGCCGCAGGTTCTTGCTTCTGTGGTATGCCCTTGCAGCGATACTGTCGGCCAGTGTGAAGCCTTGCAGGGGTTGGATCCCCCATCGGAGCTCATGCCTTTCGACAAGGGCATGTTGCCTCACAGGGCAGAAGTTGTTGCCAACACAAAGGCCTCTTTCTGTCCAGAGGTCGGGAGTCCAAACCGGGCAGCCGCCCCCAGGAAGCTTTCGGTGGAGCAGCGAAGCTGGATGGTATCGAGCCTTGAAGACACTGAAGGACGGATATGGCGAGCAGTACGATGCAAGCAACATGACCCGGGTTTGGTGGAGAGCCAATGTGAGACATGTAACATCGAAAACCGATGTGACTTGCAAGAAATGTGGCCATCGCTCGAAGCGCACTTCACTTAACGCTTGAGGAGTGGCCACGCACCTGGATGTTTCTGCAATGGCGGCGTTCGCTGGTCGAGTAGGGAAGGGCATGCTCGCTGTCTTTCGATTCTGAAGGACCGATATGGCAAGCAGTACGATGCGAGTCAGATGACCTGGGCTTGGTGGAAAGCCAATGTGAAACATAATGAATCGAAAGCCGATGTGACCTGCAAGAAATGTGGCCATCGCTCAAAGAGCACTTCACTTAACGATTTGAGGAGTGGCCACGCACCTGGATGTGTCTGCAACAGGAAGACAGAAGCGAAGCTGAGACGTTGGCTGTACGCGAAATACCCGGAGTGGGCGATTACTTCTCAGGTGAAGGGGTGCACGAATGGAGACACTCAGCGGCCCCTACCGTTCGATTTTGGCTTGTACCACGATTCCGTTTTGATTGAGCTGGATGGTGAGACCGCACACTTTGGCCGCGGGTTCGGAGGGGTGGCGGTCGATGGAGGAGTGCCGCATAGAGACTTGCAAAAGGAGTGCTGGGCGATGCAGCAAGGTAAATGTGTACTGCGATTGTTGCAGCCAGATGTATATACAGATTGCTGGCCCTGGGAGGATTTTCTGACATCAGCGATCCAACATGCAACATCTTTGACCCAGCCCTGTGTACTCACACAGGATGCCATGCACTACGAGGGTGGCATCTACCGCGAGCTGCGCACAGATTTTGATTGCAAGAGAGGTCATTTCCTTCCGAGTGGCATTCCCTACCTGACTTTTGGACTTGTCAGAGCTCAAACGAGACGAAGCCTCCCGGGGCTCGAAGCCTGAGCCGCCTCGATGCTTCAGAAGGGTAGATCTCAAAATCAGGGTCCCATTTAGGAGCCTTTTCTAGAGGGTGCCGGACTATATTTGGGATCTGCAAAGGGACCCTAACTTTGAGAACTACCCGTAAAGTGAGCGGAAACCCTTCGGAGTAAAAGCACTGATTCCATGCCAGGGATTTGGCCTTCGCTAAGTCCCATGTGTCGGATCTCATCCAGTTTCTAGTCTTTGGAGTACCATACTTTAATGCTTTTTGGGGGACGTGTTGCCTAAAGGGAACCATTATGGAATAAAGGTCTACACTTTTCTCTGGCTGGTTACTTCAAAGCCCAGGCCTTTCCTTTGTAGAATACGTTTCTTTGGCTGTTGAGCTTTTAATTCCTTCCTCGATTTGAAGTGTCCGTCGCGAACTGGCATATCCCACCGCATGTAAGCCGCACTCAACAACAGGATCTTCAACCCCCCGAGCGTGAGTCCTGCAACCCCGCAAACGCACGCTTGAACCCTAAGCCTAAACCGGGCTGAACCCTTTCAGTGTCTCAAGCCGAACCATCTTCGAGCCGCAGGTCTTGAAGCTCTATTGGTCTAAGCAGACCTGCGACCTCGATATAAAGAAAGGACCCCGAAGCACCTGGCTCGGGTGGGATAGCGGGAGATAGAGACACAGGGAGAGAAAGGAAGAGAAGGAAGGACATAAGGACGGCGGAGAGGGAGATAGGTTCGGCGAATATATCCTATTGGCCGGTAAGTTCGCAATGAAATGCTACTTGTACTTCTGAACTTCTATCATCCCGGAAGGAAGTTTGATTTGCAAAGAGGAAAAATTGGCACGAGGGCTTCCTTAGGATGAAGGACCGAGCCTCGAGAACCACGCAAAGCCTTCTGATCTGCACTGAAGACCTACTATGAAGGTTTAAAGAATTACCTATACTATTTTGCGAGGTTTCGTATTGTAATAAGTATAGTATAATTCAAGTCTACCCCAAACCCCTATTCTAAATATTAAGGCACCTACATTCGTGCATCCTTATGGGTCCCTTATAGTAGCCCTTATAGACCTTTAAAGGAACCCCTATTCTAATTATTAAGGCCCCTACATTGAGCAAGACTGGAAAATGACAGCTAGCTTGAACACATTGACAGTGGCACTTGGGGACTTCAGACGCTTCGCTACACCGATCTGGAGTTTCCGAAAAATAGGGGACCCTACTTGTAATATATAGTACCCTACATAGGAGGATCGATATTATATGGACCCCAAACTAAGGGGGTTGGGACCCCCCATTTTCGGAAACCCCCATCTAGGCTAAAATTAAAACCTATAAGCCCTGATTCGTCGAACCTACGGAGTGATCCGGCTGAAGCCGCGAAGCCCCGGCTTGGGAAGCCAGGCCCTGCACAATGAGCCCTGAGATAGCATCGGAGGGCCCTGTGAAATCGATCCCTTGAAAGGAACGTGCAAAGGAAGCCTGGGAGCCTTAGTAGAGCCATGTTTGGGTAGTTCTCTAAATTAGGGTCCTGTTTATAACGGTGCCGTACTATTTTGGGGATCCAGAACGAGCGACCCTAAATTAGAGAAGCACCCATATGAAACGTAAACCCTGAGCCCCAACATCCTAAACACTAAGCCCTTCGGTCCCAACTGAGCACTGAAGCCTCCAGGAGCACCCTTGGCGAATGTTCGGAAGGCACACCTTCAGTGACACAGGGAGGGTTTGAGATGAGGGTTGGAGGTTTAAGGTTTATGGGTTTTAAGGCTGGCGGTTTAGGTTTGCAGGTTGAAGGCTTCGAATTGCCATAGTCGTTGATTTTGCAGGGCATTCCAAGTGAGAACTGTTGACCTAGAAGGCTTGAAGAAGTAGTAGTATGATCCTCTTATAGACCCTATACACTTATACTATCGTTTGCTCGAAACACTCGTCACTAGCCTGCGTGATTTTGAAACCACCCCTTGATTCCTGCAGACATACCTTCGGAAAAGGAGAGTAGTCCGAACGTAAGCTAGCCCTCCATTCCCACAGTCGGTACCCACTAATGCCTTGTACCTAAGCGCTATAAAATCCTGATAGCATAATACAGAAGCCTCGACTGTATGAGAGCGCCAGCACTATGTCTAAGGGTTCCGCATTATAACTACTACATTACTACGATATCTCCCCATACCCTATTCTATTGATTCTATTGCTCTTAGGGCCCCAATACCCTAAGAAAATAACCCCAAACCCTAAACTCTAAACCCCAAAACCGGCACCCTGTACGGAGAATTGTGCCGTGCTTGTGCAGTTGCTCAGTTGACTCTTAAACCTCGCCTGCCTGTCGAGAGCGAGTGCCAAAAAAAACGGTACCCTATACCCTAAACCCTAAGGCCCTAAACTGCATTGCCGCCTTGGCTCGAAGCAGTGCTCCGCAGCGAGCGGAATGGAAAGCAGCTGAGGCGCCGAGGACCGGGAATGCTGGGAATGCCCTCAATCCGAAATTACCCAAAGGCCCCAAAGTAGTTCCTTTTTGGGGTTCATATATAGAACCCTATCAGGTAATCCCAAGAAGGAACTACTATGGGGCCTCTGGGTAGACCCTTAACCGTAATCCCAAAGCATACAGCCAAACCCAAAGCCTCAAACCCCAAGCCCTAAACCCTAAACCCTAAAACCCTAAACCCTAAACCCAAGGGAAAAAAACCCAAGCCCTAGAGACCGTCCGCCCTGAAGCCTTGCCTTGTCTTGCGCGAGTGTGAGCGGCGGAACCCAAGCTCTCAACCCTGTCTAGAGCAGAATTCATGCACTCCTTGAAACTCCCGGCGCCATTTAGAGAGGCACAAACAATAACTCCGATATCCCTTCATTACGGATCCGGGGCACATGTTGAGGAATCTGTTCCCTAGTCACACAAGTGATTATGATTAAACTCCGAAAGGAAGAGCAGGGCCATGGCTTTCAAAGACGGACTGGCATCCTGGCAAAAGTTCGGATTCCGTCTCTTCAATCCAAGCTCATAACTTACTCGTCGCATGGGATTTCGTACCCTAAACCCTAATCCCTAAACCCGTAAACTGAGTGCATCGGCAGCTGCCGACCCGAACGCATGGACCTCGTCTGGCTTGCCCGAGTTGCGAGAGTTTGAACCCCTAAACGCCTGGATTGTCCGAGTCTGAGCGCCGAAACCCCTAAACCCAAAACCTGGAGGGCCGTGGGATGTCGGATCTCAGTCCAGGGTTTTTCGGTTGTGGGACGTGCAAGAGTGGTGCCTTTTTGCCGCGGTGTTGCTTGGATTTTGATCAGTGGAGCCTCCGGAAAGTAGTCGAATAATTGAATTTTCCAAAAACGCTACTAGTAATAAAAGTTGTAAGTGTTGTTATTGCTGTTTATTATGGGTCGGGCCACGATAATACATTTTTTTTTTTTTTTTTTGGGGGGGGGTGGGGGGCGTTAGACCCCATAAGCTCGGATCGAAGAAGCCTTTCCATAGCTCTGGCTCGGGAAGCTTCCTCAGCCACGGGCCACGTGTCTGGGTGGAGCCACAGGAGCCCTAGGCTACCAGCAACAGCCGAAAGTGCCCGGAAAGGCCATCCCTGTGCTTATATATATATATATATATGTATAGATAGATATACACATACTTTGTTCCTATATCTATGCCTACACGTCTACCGTAAATATAGCTACATCTAGGTAGGGAGCTCATAGTGGTAGTATACATATATGGACCTTCCAGGCCTGGGTTTGTTGCCTTGCGATCCCTGAAGGCCTCAAAGCCTACGGAGCTCATCGCTGAAGTGTTGTAGGGTCCTCACCTCCCACTCTCCCTCTCCCCTCCCTCTAAACCGCAAACGAGGGTTGGGCAACGCTGGACCTGAGGTGAAGTTGAAAGCCTTCGCGGCCGCATGGTGGTTTCCAGTTCTCGTGTCTCGGCCGCCAAGAAATTCAGCGTGAGGGAGGGGGATGACATAACATAGGGGTGTCTAGAATCCGATGTTGCTTCCCCGTAGGACTTCTTAGCATGTTCTTAGTATCAGCCTGCATCATCTTTTTTACGCCCAAAGCCCTACTGCACTTATGAAGATCTCCATACAGCAAGTTTTCAGAGGTCTGATCGGCGTTTGCTTGAGCTTTCCGGCTTCAGGGTCTTGTAGGTATACATTTTACGGATTGGGGATCGGGGTGTGCTGGTCCACCTACGTGGGGTACAAGCTATCGGAGATCGTGCGGGCATTCTTCCGTGGAAGGGCATCCTGAATCACAAACTTTGCACTATACTACTGGAATGGAACAAGCTGGGGCTTGGGTTTAGGTTTGTTTATCAGAGTTTAACGTTGAAGATTTTCTTGGTAGGGGCTTGAAGGTCTTGGATTTTGCATGAAGCGTGATACTGAAGCGTTACATTTCGTGGACATGATGTTCGGCCCGACTTTGATGCAACAAGGCGGGAGTTTTGTAGTGAATGAAGAAGCCTGAATTTTCTGAGTGGCGAGTAGTACTATTCCGTCGGGTTTCCCAACATGGTTATAGTAGAATATATTTCGAGCTGTACCGACTCAGGAAACCCTGAGACTACCCCATTCAAGTGATAAAAGGCCTTGGGGCGATTGCCATGCTACCCCTTATAGTAACCCGAATAGGACCCTTGTTCAGAACCCTTTAAAGGAACTCCACTCTAATTATTTAGGCCCATATATTCGGCTAACCCTACTAAGCCCTCAACCTTAGAACCTTCATTGTCGAGCCAAGCTCCTTCAGGGAACCCGGGAACCCCATTCAAACGTTTACGGCCCTCATATTGTGGTTTAGGGTTTAGGGTTTAGTTTAGGGTTTAGGGTTTCTGGGATAACCTTATAGGATGCTAAATATGAACCCCCAAAAGGAACCACTATGGAGCCTTAGCGTATTGTTAATTGTATTCGAATCCATAGCGGTCTGACACAAGAAAACTGCACAAGCCCCGCCCATTCCCGAGACTCTTGAACCTGCACCGCATACAAACACGCCTAAAACCTACAGTAACCCCTTCCTGAGCCCGAAACCTCCGTAACCACGTTGCAGCCGGGGTTCCGTTGCAGCCTCGGTGGGAAGATTGGAAAGACAGGTCGGCATTCTCTCCGGCGCCAACCTTTTCCTCTTAGTCATGTCGGCGCCACTTGCTACCTGGCGGCATAAGCATGGGTCTGTACTTGTGTGTTGTAGGTGTGTATGTATAACGTATTGGTAGCTAGGTCGTTTAGGTACCCAGACCTTCCAAAATCCCTTAATTAGGGAATATACCTTAAATCATATTAGGGATCTTACTATAATTTAAGGTATATTCCTTAATTAAGGGTTTTTGGAAGGTCTGGGTAGGTATAGGTCGGGCACGCAATAGGTAGGTAGAAACTGCGACCTTTAGTTGGAACACACTTCTCCACTCGGGCCTCAGCTCATTGCAGCTTTGTCGTGTCGTGAATTTGCCGTCCCTTAAAGGATACTATCGGGTTCTATAATGGGGCTCCCTTTAAGGGGCTCCTTTAGAGGGGAGTATGTTAGAAGCTGCCCCCACCCTGTAATAGTGGTATAATAGGAATATACTAGGGCCCTAATATAATTTTAATATAATCCTTATGGTCACTATTACGGGGTGGGGGCAGCTTCTAAGGAGTACGCTTCACCCTGCGCCGCTGGATGCTCCTGAGGTCATCCTTTACTGCTCGGCCGTCTTGGCTAACCCGAAGCTTGGACGAAGCTAAATGGAATTCGAGGGTCCGAGCCTAGAGCTTTGGCATTCTCATCACGTTGTACATGCTACGTCTGCTACGTCATGGACGGGCAGTGGCCTGTCATCCTACCACTACGTCTGCCATACAAGCAAAGGAGCTTCGGTCTCTGGCACTCCAGTGTGTGGGGCGGTTGCCTGAAGGGGGAGGAAACAT